TATATATATATATATATATATATATATACCTTTATTGATTTCAGAGAGAGGAAGGGAGAGGGAGAGAGAGAGAGAAACATCAGTGATGAGAGTCATTGATCGGCCGCCTCCTGCACGCCCCGCACTGGGGATGGAGCCCACAACCCAGGCATGTGCCCTGACCGGGAATCGAACCACGATCCCCAGGATCCTAGGTTGATGCTCAACCGCTGAGCCACACCGGCCAGGCCATAAGGACTCTTAAAAAGCATAACCACAATATTGTCACAACTAGAAAAATAAAATTCTCAGTATCATTAGCTGTCCAATTAGGGTTCAGATTTCCCTATAAATTTTTTCCCCAGTTTGTTAGAATCAGGGTCCGATGAAGGTCCATATTGCAATTGGATATGTCGCTTCGTCTCTTTTAACATAGTATATCAGCTCCCCGTCTTTCCTCTCTCTCATTCCTGAACCTTTTTTTCTTGGAGAAACCAGGTTGTTTGCTCCATAGGTTTTCCTCTTTCCGGCCTTTGCTCACTGGTTGTGTCCCCAAGGTTTAATTTAACATGTTCTCCCATTTTTTGCACTTCCTGTTAATTGGTAGGGCTAGAGGCTTGATCAGATGTAGCCTCACAGTTTTTGGTAAGCACTGTGTTACTGATGGTTGTAAACTTCCACTGAGAGACACATACGTACTCTCTGGTTTTCTTTCTTGTGGTGTTAATATCCGTGTTAGTCTGCCCAGGCTGCTAAAACAGAAGACCGCTGCCTAGCTTGTGGAAAATAAACAGATAATTATTTTCTCACAGTGCTGAGGCTATAAATCCATGATGAAAGTGCTGGCCAGTTTGGTTTCCAGGGAAGGTTCTCGTCTTGGCTTGTAGATAGTGGTCTTTCCTTCTGTGCTCTAGAGGACAGGGAGCGAGTGCTCTCATGTCTTTTCTCATAAGGACACTAATCCTATCAGGCCCTTACGACCTCATTTAACCTTACTTTTTCAGAGGCTCCATCTCCAAAAACAGCTGTGCTGGGAGGTTAGGACTTCAGCATATGAATTTTGGGGAGACACAAGTGTTCAGTCCACTGATGATCATTCATTATCAAGATCCTTCTTTTCACTTGTTTTCGCCCCTTGTTTTGCAGCACAGCTCTGGGTACAGTTTTGGAAGGCTTGTGAATCTCAATTGACAGCCTCTGAACTATATTGTTTCTGTAAGGATCAGGGAGATTAATCTTAAATTTCTGCAGGAGGAATTTAGGCTAAACATTGGAAGAACTTCTGACTCTTAAAGGTTTTAAAAGAGCAGCAAATTTCTCAAAGGACGTTTTCAAAGGAGGTTTATAGAAAACGGGTTCTGTAAGTCTGGGAACCTGAGGGCTAGACTTTACCCCACATGATCCATTGAAATGTCAGTGAATTTATAAAACTAATTAACATTTACTGAGCACCTTCTACTTGCCTCGGAACAACCCTTGGGGTAGCCAAAGGCACAGTCTATTGTATACACGAAGAAGCGAGAGAGAGGTGAAGGTCATAGAATTAGAAACAGTGGATCCAGGGTTTGCATCCGGGCAGATGGGTGCCTGAGGCTACGTGGTTATTGCACCAAACAGCCACGGATCATTGGCTCCTCCTTCTTCCGGCAGAGGGACACGTCACTGCAGCTATTCCCTGTGCTAAGGGGGCAGCTGTCCGTCTGCTCAGGGTGCTGGCGGGAAGCTGGCGTGACCGCTCTCGGTGGGGCCTCTGGGTGAGCAGGGCCCGGCCCGCCCTGTGCATTGACCGCTGTCCTCTTTTCCAGTGCTCTGCCCGACCTAACCCTGCCCTTGGGAGCAGCCTTCCTCGGAGGTCACTGAGCAAGAGTCATTCCATCACAGGGACCGCATGACCCCATGTAACCTCCGAAGTGTATTTAAACGTGTAGAGCTTAACCTGGATTAACCATGAGCAAACGCACGGGTCCTTTGCTGTCGTTGGCTTCTAGCCCTAGTAACCATTGGATGCATGACAAGGGCAGGGCTGGGGACACGCCTGCTCGCCGCCTGTGTCGGAGGGAGGCCGATGCTCTCACCGATCATGTAGTCTGGCTCCAGCCCTCAAAAACAGCTTACACTTTAACACTAATTTTGAAATAAACCTTCATTTAATTAATATTCTCCATGTGCTTTGGAGTGTGATGTCCCGCGGCGCCCGTTACAAACCCTCCAGAGGAAGGAGGTGCAGCTGCGTCCCCGTGATGTGATGGCCGTGGCCTGCGGTGGCAGCGTGGCGCTTAGGGGCTGGGCCATGCCCTGCTGTGGTCACGATGGGGCTGCACGTGGCACAGGTGAGGGAGGAGGCCGGCCTCGGGCTGTGAGACCCTGCAGGGCCTCGGCAGCCGTAGAGGGGGCTGCAGGACGCGTGGCAGGAGCTCCGGTGAGGGGGCGTCGGCTGAGGGGGAGATCGTGAGGTCAGCAGGTAGACAGTGAGCTCAAGGAGCAGTCAGGCAGCTGTAGTACCTCCTGCCGAGACGGCCAGGCTGGTTCCGGGAGGGACCTGGCGGCTCAGGTTGGAGGGAGGCAGCTCTGCTGAGCTGTTCGAGCAGGGGGATTTCGGCTGCTTTCCTGACTGCCCGCAGTGCCCCCGGGAACCGTACCCTATGGCCATGCCTGCCCTGCCCTGCCCTTCCTGCAGACCTGGAGGTCCAGCAGCTCTGGCCCCTGCGTGCCGTTTCCAGCATCGGTGGCAGGCAGCTGCCAGCCTTGCTTGACCAGCAGGTGAAGGCTGATTCGTGGCTTGATGTTACCACAACCGGAACGCTCTTGGCTTCCAGCTTCTGGTTGGAATGATATGAACCCTGCCAATGTCCACAACCTCATCTTAAGACAAAAACTTTTATCAAGCACTTGGTAAGCACCTGCCACTGGCCTTGGCGCTCTCTACACATCATCTCACGTCACAGCAGCCTTGTGTGGTGAGTGGGGCCAGCATCGCTCCGATTCAGAGACCAGGAGGCTGAGAACAGGGTGTCCAGAAGCAGAGGAGTCAGTCTGGCTCTGGGTGTCATCCAGTTAGACTTCCACTCACTCTCAGCTCAGTGTTTGTTGAATTAAGGGTGCCACGGGGAAAGTCATGCTTGATCACCCTGGAAACTCTACAGGAGGCCACAGATCTACAGATCCACAACAGAAGCCATCCTTGGTGCCCGCCTCTCCCTTCCTGGGCCTCCATCCTCCAGTAGCAGTCTCACCTGGGTGAGGGGGACTTACCCTACCAGGGAAGGTGCCCCAGCGCCTCCAGCCCTGACTCAGGCCAGGAGCAGAATGCGTGTGTAGATACAGCCCCAGCTACTATAGAAGCTAGAAGCAAACAGGAACCCAGGCAAATCCTCAGGAGCCAGCAAATTGGAGTACGTGCCAGGCTTTGACAAAAGGGGCGACTTCAGTTCTGCGTTCATGGGCACTGTGGCTAAGGGTGCAGGGGCCCCTGGTGGTGTGAGGTCATGAGTGAGCCACACTGCCACGGTGGGGTTTTCATCAGTCTCAGCAAAGGGGAGGCACTGACATCCCCAAGATCTGGGTCAGCCACTGCTTTCCCCCAGGTTAGCCTGCCAGCAGGTGTCTCAAGCAGCAGAGACAGCTCATCAAAGCTGCTGGCCGTCAAGGAGGAATCTCACACGTCAGGACGTCAGGGATGCTCTCCGGCCAGGAGGGGCGAGGGGCGGGTGGGAGCAGTGGCTCCTTTTTCTCTCCTTTTGTCCATGCAGGAGTTGAGAGGGAACATTCCATCAATCTCTCATGGTTTTGCATTGCCCTTCTCTCTGTCTTTGCTAATCAAGGTGTGGTGCCCAGACCAGTAGCACTGACAGCACCTAGGAACTTCTTAGAAACGCAAAACCTCGGGCCCCCCCCAGACTTACTGAGTCAGAAGCTGCATTGTAACAAGATCTGCAGGCAAATGGCACTTGTATTAAGTTTTAGAGAAGCTTCCCTCTAGGTTTTCAGTGTTGCTGGAGCCCTGACTTGCAGGCTGCACCTGAAGAAACCACAGGTAGAGTGACAGGTGAACGCAGCTCTCTTCCCCCAGCTTCCGCTCTCCTCAAGGAAGTATCCCAAGGGCAGACTGATGCTTTAGACGCCGGTCAGTCTTGATTGCAAAACTCAAGTCCAATCTAAGAGGCCCACGGTCAGCAAGGAGTCCTGGAGGGCAAGGTCTGCAGGGTGCCTCCGTGGGTAGCTGGGAGGGTGGTCTGGCCAGCGGGCTCTTTAGCTGAGGCGTGTTCCCATCAATGAAAGGCCTCGATGTGGGTTTTGCTAACCAATCGCACCAAGTCCTAGTAATGGCATCTCCACCGCAGAGCCAGGCGCCGGCCTTCATTCGTGCAGAGCTGAAAGGGGATCCAGGAGGCCCGGCCATTTTCCAAATGGACTATCTCTACGTTCCCTACCTTTGTTTTTCTGTTTCAGGATGGGAGACGGATGTGATGTCTCAGAAAGAAACCCCCAAAGGAAGGGTGTTGTGGCCCTGAGGTTTGTGGGATCGATTGGATTTTAATAGTTAAATAAAGCTTTTTCATGCCTGTGGAACAATGTCTGGAGTATGACTCTTCAGCTCGCCGTCGGGGAAAGCAGAGGTGGAGACGATCGGCAGGAAGGCACGATGCTCCAGGGTCTCAGGATGAATGACGCACCGAGTCCTAATGGACACCAGGGAGCTCATTCCGTGCCCAGTTTTGAGCATCCATTGTGCACTGGGGACCC